ATAGCAATTGCCGTACCATAATCTGAGTATTTTGGTTTGAATTCAAGCTTTTGGGAAGCTCAATCATTGCACTCTGTGAAATTATGACTGTAACCTCGTATGACACCCTAAAATGATTAATGAATTTGTGTGATGCTCCCATGAATAAAATTAATAATTTAATTGGGGTTAGAGATGAGCAAGAAATAAATATCACTTATTTAATAATTAACATGTAATCCCAGATAATATATAATTTTACAATATATTTATTGTAGGGGGCATGATGGCTCAGCAGTTAAAGACATTGAGCTTGTCATTTACAATGTTAGGATACTAAATAAGCAATCAAATCATACTAGGAAACAATCAATATAAATAGTAAGGATACCAGCAACAAAGTTACAGTCATAAGTGGGAGGAGATGGTTACAAGAACGATGAAAAGATTAATAGTAATGCAGACTTAGTAAATAGTTTGACAGTGTTGAGGGAATTATTTGTTTAGCAGAATGATGGCTGTTCTTGTGTTTAGTTGTCTTGGTGTGCACTGGTCTATAGCATCATTTTGAGGGTAGGAGTTGAAACAATTTATGTCCAGGATGTGAGGGATCTGTAAATATTTCACAGACCTCTTTTTGATTTGTGCAGTGTACAGTCCTCAAAGGAAGGCAGGTTGGCAGTAATTGTGTTTTTCTGCAGTTCTGATTTATCCTCTGAAGTCTGTGTCTGTCTTGTTGGGTTATAGAGGTGCAGATGACAGACTAAATAATTCCTCTGTACAACTGTATCATACTCTTGAGCGTCACATTCGCTAACTACTAGTCTGCCATGAACTATGGAGGAAGGGAACCGGACGGGAGGGGGGCAGAAACTGGACAGGGAAAGTTGACCAGGAAATCTTGGTGCACAAATTTCAGTTCAGGCTTTGTTATACTGTAAACAACTTGACTTTTTAGTAAAGTATGCCTTTCATTACAAATTGAGTTGAGGGTCTTTCTTGCCTAGAGGATCAAGTCAGGACGATTCTGACACCCAATTTCAATGCCAGAATTTTTAGAAAAAAGATAGAAAAGGTTGTATCCATAATTAAATAGAACTGCTGCTTGTCAGTACAGTATTAATAAATGTAGGCTCACTGGACCAATAACTTGAAAGAATGTAAAAGAGTTTCCAATAGTCTAGGCCCTTTGTGAAGGTACTGGTAAGTTTTAGACATCAGAAGCAATTAACAGTTAAGAAACTACAACAGAAATAGCATAAACAAGGGGGAGGTAGCTGGATTTAGCTTAGGAATGACTGAAAGATAAGCAGGAATTAAAAAATGCATTATTATTTTTTCCAGGATGGCTTTCTACATAAACTAGCAGTCATTATCTCCTCCTGAAGCAAAATCTGAAGCTAGTACCATTCTCTGGTAACAAGCAGGCTTGCCCGCAAGAGCTAGTACAGCATTTCCTTGCACCCGGACACTGGTCATCTTGCTTGCATTGATTTCCAAGAGGTCCTTCATGACAGATGGCATCAGTGTATGGACAGATACCAGGTTTCACTTTGGAAAAAAAAATATAAGAAAGTTTTAAGGATACTTGTAAAGGAACAATTAGAAATGCTGTGATGAGAATCTACCAGAGGGCATAAACGGGGGGAGGAATTGTAAACATAAAACCCTAATGTGTCTAAACTTTTC